TATAGAGTGGAGGTACACTAACCTCTTTATTGGCCCTTATAGAGTGGAGGTACACTAACCTCTTTATTGGCCCTTATAGAGTGGAGGTACACTAACCTCTTTATTGGTCCTTATAGAGTGGAGGTACACTAACCTCTTTATGTTTTGTGATTGAACTGGGTTACACTTTTAAAAATAATTTTTATTTCCTCTTTAAAGTAACTTAAATGATACAACTTGTTTGAGAGAGAGGGTGGAAGGGGGGGGGGGGACTAGTTAGTTCCTAGAGCCAGGGGGGTTATTTGATAATGAACTTTTCTTAAACTTGATCTAAAATGAGTGGATGAATGGTGGACAAGAGTTTATAAAATTCGTACACAAATCGAGAGAGGTATAATGCAATAATATATTATTAGCGTATGTTGTTTTTCTTTTTTAAAGAGGTCAATTCACCTGAACCCAATGACGTATTAACCCATGGCCACCAGGCTCCGAGATTATTTGGGCTCCTCGACATCTACCCGTGAATGACATGGCTGAAGGATGCATGGGCCCCTGATTTTAGGGGGCCCTAAAAATCTACCCGTGAATGACATGGCTAAAGGTTGCATGAGCCCCTGATCTTGGTGGTCTCTCGACATCTACCCGTGAATGACATGGCTGAGGGTTGCATGGGCCCCTGATCTTGGTGGTCTCTCGACATCTACCCGTGAATGACATGGTAAAGGTTGCATGGGCCCCTGATCTTGGTGGCCCCTCGACATCTTCCCGTGAATGATATGGCTGAAGGATGCATGGGCCCCTGATCTTAGGGGGCCCTAAACATCTACCCGTGAATGACATGGCTGAGGGTTGCATGGGCCCCTGATCTTTGTGGTCCCTCGAATCTACCCGTGAATGACATGGCTGAAGGTTGTATGGTCCCTTGATCTCGGCTGTCTCCCCCCCCCCCCTTTCCTTAGACTTTACCATTGTCAGCCTTGTGGATAATACGGCCCTGCTTGAACCTAAATTATATCCGTGATTGTGATTGGTGGTTTTTGGGGCCCTGTGCTTTGTGGTCCCTCGAATCTACCCGTGAATGACATGGCTGAAGGTTGTATGGTCCCTTGATCTCGGCTGTCCCCCCCCCCCCCCCTTTCCTTAGACTTTACCATTGTCAGCCTTGTGGATAATACGGCCCTGCTTGAACCTAAATGATATCCGTGATTGTGATTGGTGGTTTCAAATCTTGTCTAGTGAAGACATGATTGTAAATGAGACGGTCTATTTTGAGTAGATTTACCAAGTGGAACCGCTTTAAAAAAATCAACAAAAAAAAACAGCTTGGAAGCAGTATTCGTAGGTATCGTTTTTCATACCCAACATACAGTTCCCATATGACACGCACTCTGCCCCCGTATTTTGACAATTTTTATTGATTTCTTAATTTCTTAGTTGCCTGCTAACCCCCCCCCCTCACCAAGTGGTGGACTGGGATTAGCCCCCGGGCAATAATTTCCCGACACCTGATTGAGACGAGTAGACACATTGCGCTTTTTGGATAGTGGTAATGTAGGTTTGATATCATTGTGTGACACACGCGTAAATGATTTGTTAAAATTTTAAACGTAACATATCGTATTGATCGAGCTAAAAAAAAATCTGATCAGTAGAACTTTTTGTCATTGTTAAATCTACTTCTTTTAGATTTCTATTTCATCCTAGATGGTAAAGGCATTTTACCTTCTCCCAAAAGCAACCTGTGATTCTGCTCTCTGAAGACTCCTATCAACCCAGCCATTTTTCGAAACTTTACCACTACCCAGAAACGTGCCAATGGTCTGGGGGGGGGCGTGTAATGGACACTCTAACGGGCTCCAAAATCGTCTTTAGTTAGGACCTTAATGTCTTGTATCTATTTCGCTTCTGGTGTGTCCTTCTTTCTTTTCACATGTACTTCCCATTTACTCAACATGTTTTATCTTAATGGTACTGAGTGGGAATAAAAGTAGGCAGGCAGCGATCGTCAAGCGTGACGGTCTGACCTTAGGTAACAAGAGTGAATTGTTACAGAGACGGGTAGGGTGTAGGTCTACCTGTTGGACTGTTACTTAAATACTGGCACGTTGGTGTAGGACTGTCTGCAGGACTATTGTTTAAAGGTCGGCACATATTATAGAAAAAGAGAAATTAACTCTTTTTTTTAACAATTAGACCCACCGGGTTATTTCTCCAAATACCCAGACCCGATGAAAAAACTGCACCCGGTTATACCATAGTAATTAATTAAACAATAACATCACATGAACTTAACAATGGTAACATCACATGTACTTATCAATGGTAACATCACATGTACTTCACAAAGATAACATCAATTTACTTCACAGAGATAACATTACATAGACTTCACAAAGGTAACATCAATTTACTTCAGAGAGATAACATCAATTTACTTCACAGAGATAACATCACATGTAGAGACCAACCGAAAGTGATTTTCTGATTTAGGCCGAAACTTCATAAAGATAACATCACATGGACTTCACAAAGATAACATCAATTTACTTCACAGAGATAACATCAATTTACTTCACAGAGATAACATCAATTTACTTCACAGAGATAACATCACATGTAGAGACCAACCGAAAGTGATTTTCTGATTTAGGCCGAAACTTCACAAAGATAACATCACATGGACTTCACAGAGATAACATCAATTTACTTCACAGAGATAACATCAATTTACTTCACAGAGATAACATCAATTTACTTCAGAGAGATAACATCAATTTACTTCACAGAGATAACATCACATGTAGAGACCGACCGATTTTCCGATTTCGGCCAAAAAACCAGGCCGAAAATTAAAAAATGACTTTCGGCCGAAACCGAAAAAAAAACGAAACTTAACTTTTCAGTTTCGGCCGAAACCGAAAAAAAAACGAAACTTAACTTTTCACTTTCGGCTGAAACTGAAGCCTAAAAATTAAATATTTCAAAACTCGTATCGAACTCGTTCTGCTCACCGCGAAAAATGATGGAACAACTTGTGTGGCAATTTTTATTCGTCTTAAATAACTCCCATACAATTTAAACTTCTCCCATTTTTTTTGCAGTGTCACTTTGACCAATGGTAAGCTAAAAAAATTTTTTTTTGATTTTTCTTTAGCAAACCGAGCATATTGGGACTTGAACATCCCTGTTTTCTATCCAAATTAGATCGGGAATAAATTTGAAATAGACAATTTACCATTTTCCTTTGCATATTATCCCTTTTAAGGTGTCGCCAACCCCCCCCCCCTCCCCCGATCCCCACACACACACTCGCACAGATCACGGGACGCAACAAATAAATTTTTACTTTTTTTATCTTTACCGAAACGTCCGTCGATAACAATCCACATTCTGTACTCTTACTGTTATAATGAAAGTGTGTAATTCTAACCATTCTATAGAATGCCGAAGCAAAGTATATAATTGCTTCTGTATTTCACACTTAACTAGGCATTCTATAGAATGGCTGGATTACACACTTCGCATGTAACATATATGAATAAATCTAAACATTTTTTTGATTATGGAACTTTAGAATACATAAATTAATACCATACCAAACATTCAATTCAAGCTTGCTTCCACCTCTTAAAACTATATTAGGCCTCAAATATATTTTTAAAAAAAGATTATAGTAGATGTATTGCCTAATAAAATAAGACCACTTTTTTTAGTATTAATTAAAATGTCTTAAGGGCCTAATCTAAGTTTTTTTTA